CAAACAAAATAATAAAGGGATGGATTAGTTAACATTGTTTTTTTAAGATTTTATATTATTAAGCTTTGTTAGTTCGGCCCTGACGATAACTCCATCACGGCTCAGCGTTTACTTTCAATGTGATGATCTTGAGTACGTACAATCATCGTGTATCATTGATAATATCAAAAAATATTGCCCAGCCCTATTTACTGGTGATGACGTGGTATTGCTGAACCTGGGGGGGGTGTGTCTAGGTAAAACACAGGTTAGAACCTGAGATCCCCATTGGCTAAATAATTTTCATTAAAAAAATTATTATTCAGCATGCATATTTCACATATTGCTATTTTAAGCAAAAGTGAAAAGTCTTACACATTTGGCAAAAACAAAGAGTAACTTAACTCTTAAGACCAACATAAAATATATTCGTTTTTGGCAAAACGGTTAGACGAGGTCGGTTCAGTTTTATATTTGTTGACATGTTAATTGGCGTATATATTTAAAATAGCGCGTGGAAATTATTCTGCAGAATTAAATAAAAATAATCCGTATTATAGAGCATTTACCCAGCTTTTACGAAGTTGTAACTTGTAAAGGTACAATCACTTTTATGAAACAGTATAAAACACGAAAACCTAATCAAAATCTCGCCTATATACTGATATATTTTTACAGTCGAAGGGTCAAAGGCATATTGCTATAAAATGTCAACACTCACCATCATCGTCTTCAAGAGATAAATATTCCATTAATATCTCTAATTCCTCGCACGATTCAGACAAAACACTTCCCATGTACAGCAAAGCACCGCTATCGTCCAAAACATCCACGATTTCTTCCATATTCGACGAATTTTTAGGTTTTCGAGCACATTTGCAAGTTTTCGAGTGTTTTTTCAAGTTTTCGAGTCACGATTTCACAATCCCTCAAAGGCAATTGCTAGATAGTATACTTCAAAATAAGATTTCCGTTTTTATTCTATTTTTAAAATAAGATAGGGTTAGGTTAGGGTTTAGGTTAGGGTTAGGTTGGGGTTAGGGTTAGGTTTAGTATTAGGGTTAGGGTTTAGTTTTGCCGTAGGATAGTTTTTTCTACGTTATAAAAACGGAAACCTTATTTTGAAGTATACTATCTAGCAATCACCGTCCCTCAAATCAGCGTTGCCTCAAATTACGCGACCGCGCGTACAAATGAGGGACTGTGGAAGAGTCAGTGTCAAAGTTTCCACCTGTTTACGGGCAGAAGGATTGTCTTCTGGAACACTATTTAACGCAAATATAAAATTTTAAACACCAATAGCAGTCTTTTTTTGCGCTGAAAGTATCAGTATGCATGCACATATCATATGAAATTCAAGCAATTCCAAAACGATTTGTACATATAATTACAGAACACTAGTCAAAATCAATGTTGTATATTGCGCTGTGTAGAGACAATACCTCGGCTTAACCCTCTAGGGCTTAGGTCATTATGTTCATATAAGCAAAGTATTTCTAAAAGGCAACATTGATGTGAAAATATGTATAAAATTTTGGTCCCATTTTGGAGAAAAAAGTTTCCTTATTCACAATAAAATTTTCACTTAATTAAAATCCATCATTTGATAGGCAATAATATTTTTGAACGCCGGTGTTTCGTGAGTGCAGATGTTCATTTTCATGTTAAAATTTTTCGCATTCACAGTTATTTTTTGGACATTGACATTATTTAAGATGACTCAACACAATTTTTTGAAAATAATGGTTATTTCCGAATTAGATCTGTATTTTTTTGAAAAACACAAACTGACAAACTATCTTACTGATGTAAAACATCATCTATAAAGGTTTGAATTTTTCACAAAAGTTAAACAACTGCCATCGCTATGGCAACAATCAACTCGTATCGAAAATGACATCGGCGAGTCTCAAATTTTTTCACACAATGAGTTGTCTTGGTATACTAATTTAATTATCTTAGCAATTTTAAAAAGGTTCTGTTAATAATTTAATTATCTTAGCAATTCTAAAAAGATTATGAATTATCACATTTGTGTAATTCGAAAAAGTTTGGATCAACACAATTTTTTCACAGTAAAAAATAATTGAGTATACTAAGAAAATCATTTTATGAAATTAAATTTTGTGGATCAGCGATGACGTTTTCGAGTTAGGGGCTGTTTATATGAGCCCGGTTTGCTGGGCTAACCTGCTTAAACGGGGTGCCCGGCTTCACAGTAATTTCCAACACAAAACAATTTCACTTTACATGACAACCGGGCCAGCCCGTTTAGCTGGGATCTCACTTGCCTCAAACGGGGCGCCGGTCAGCAGGGCTGAAATTTCTCCATGTAACGTATCTAGCCCGGGCAACCCTCATTTAAAACAAAAATATTTCCGGAAACTGACATTGAATTTTCTTGATAAAGTTTTATTTCTTCAATTAATCTTGCCGACAAAGTATAGTTTTAATCGATTAAACTTGCCAATAAAGCACAAATTCGACTTCCGTGACAGACGTTGCACTGTAAACTCGTAAACAAGTTTTCCCCGCCATTTTCGTCAGCATACATTTCAGCCCGGCAAATGTCTCATCCCGGCTTGCCGGGCTCATGTAAACAGCACCCTTAAACTACTTCAAAGCAAAAATATCCGCCATTTTGAAACATTATTATTGCCATAGCAACGGCAGTTGGGTAACTATTGTGAAAACACTTTTTAGACGTTGTTTTACATAAGTAAGATGAATTTTGTTTTTCAAAATGTAATACGCGTCCAAAACTATACGGATCTAAGTCGCAAACTTTCTATTTAAAAAAAAAACTACATCGAGCCACTTTCATGAATAATACATTATTTGGTCTGGAAACACAAGAGAGGGAACAAAAACTAGTTTCTGGATCTAGACCGATGTACCTTTCTCCTTTTAGGGACTGGTCATAAAGTAACTGCTAGGGTGGGCTGGAGGTAAATCACAAATTTTGCCAATAAGTTCGGTGACCCATCTTAGGGTGTAGATAAAAATTTCAAAGCCCATCTAATCTTACAAAAAATTTTTCATGACTCACCCAATCTAAATTGGGAAAATACACTTTTATAATAAACAAAACTTGCATGCAAGTATGAACATTGTATAAATATACACGGCACTGTATTGACATAATTCCATCTTCATTGAATGATATTGAGCTGCTCTCCAGTTTGCTGTGATCCGACCACTTCTTGTTGTTGTATAAATAAAGTACTGGTTCAATAGCGTCATAATTTGCATTTGATTATTTTGGATAGTTTTGTCCCCGAGCCGACGGCGCGAAGCGCCGTGCGAGGGTACTAATCCCCCCGGCTGCTTACACCCGGGGAAACGAAAGCATTACCCAAGTGTAAAGTTCATCAATGAGGGTGGGCGTGGGTTACCGTGAGTGGTGGAGTGGTTCGGTGGGTGGTCATCCTCACCGATCTCAAAAATATGGCGGACTGTCATGAATAGCGGACACTGATTTGTCCAATTTAAAGTTTGCATTATAACGACTGTCGATTGTATGACGACAGCGAAATAGCAAACATTTCTTGATTTGATGATTGATAAATTTCTTGCAAATATATTTAATTTTTGCTCGCATTTTTGCAAGATTTTGTAAATTTCAAGAAAGAAAGGGCGAAAGAATCGGCTAAAAGAAGGGAGCCGACGTCAACGAAGGTAAGTTTGTTTTAAATATTGATTTTTTAATTGCTTTAAAACCCGACGGCCGCTTTGGCCCTTTGCCCTTTGGCTTTGCGTATATCAAAACAACTAAACAAGCAGCATATAATTTTAGTGTATTAATAATATTGATTCCCTTTTTTATTATATTGAATTTTTTAAATAAAAAAGAAAGCAAAGTTAATTTTAATAATTAAAGGCAGTTTAGTTTTATAAAGAACATTAAATTTTTAAAACGTTTTGCGAAGCTTTTGTGGTTGAATTTTACCTTAAATTGAAGCTTATCATTACGTATAATAACATACCTAACATATATATGTTGGGAAATTGACAATTTTTTCGAATTTGGCGATTTTTCATTTGTAAGAATATTCTTAAAAAATTATCGTGTTATCATGACAACAACTTTGGATACTTCATGTTCGGAAAATACAATGGTTTTGTCAGCAAGGCGAGGGTTTCTGCATGCCCGTATTTTCTAGTTTAGTTTTATTATTAATATCTTTATTTTTTGAAGTAGACATGGGTTTTTGTTTGGTGGCCCAACAATGGACATACAAAAAAGAATGGTGGCCCATCGAAACTGCCCAAAGATTTTCCATGGCCCATCCCAAATCACTCCAGCCCACCATAGCAATTACTTTATGACCGGTCCCTTAGAACCAGAAACAGTAAAACCTTTCTTCTCATGTGAACAGCACTGTAGTTGCGTTTGTGGTAGAGGTGCAGTCCCTCAAAATGCAGCTTCAGCACGCTTTATTAGCGGGCCCGTTGCCAAGACTTTAGGGAGCTTAAGCATGTAGGACGGCAACACGATGACGACGGCAACCAATACAATGGGTCAATGAAAATAAATAAATAATTAAAGTCCCAGGGGAGTTTCAGACGAATTCAGAAATTTAACAGTATCTATCTCTTACTGCGGACATAGTCATACTCATTCCACCGTGGAGTGTGCGTTGATGTTCATTCATCACTAATTCCTCGGCTAAAATCGACTGCGGTGGAATGTTGATGAGGTATTCCCCTTGGATCCTTCCTTGGCACTCCAATAGTCCTCGTTCATTCTTCTTAAGGTTAAGACGTTGTTTATCTTCGCGAGTTTGATCTGAATCTTCATAGCGCAATTGTTCTCATTTCAACCACCAATCTATCTGCTGCTGAATCTCCTCCGTCGTAGCGTGAGAGGTCCTTCTCTGCGTATTTGGTTGGATGTAAGATTGTGAAGGAACCTGATTACCCACGCCATGATTCTCATAGTTTTCCAGAAGGTATACTTCTTTAGGACGTCCGTGAACACGTCTTCCTGCTGGATTACAGCTTTGAAGATTTCTCCACTTTGCTTTGCCTCAGTTTCTGTCTCTTTGGTTGCTTCGATTACAACTTCGTCCGGCCATTCTTCAGGATTAGATAGCCACTCCGGCCCATCGAGCTATTTCGTAGACAGATGATCTGCTTGACAGTCTCTGCTTCCGATGTCTGCAGGAATCTCTTTAGTTCCGACATGTTTCGATGTGATGTAGCTTTTCTCTTTGATTAGTTTCACTCGATTTGCGACAAATTGTTTGTAATTCCCACGACCATTAATCCAATATAAAGCAACCATACTGTCGAGCCATCCGTAGCAGTGTCTTACTGGCAATCCATCGAGCACCGACCTTACGTTATCCATCAGCTTCATCGCCATCTGGCCCGACACCAACTCTAATCTCGGGATGGTTAGACCTTTCTTCGCCAACCGTGATTTGGCTGTGACGAGACCTTGCGCTGTGTATTACTGCGTATACAGCTGCACATGTACCCTGTCCAATCGCATCCCCAAATGCATGTAGGTCAATGGCTTGGACCTCTTCTCTGTGTCGAACCAGGCTTCTCGGGACATCAATCTTACTGGGTAAGTTCCTACACCATTTATTCCAGCAACTCATTAGATTACACGGCAGTTCCTTGTCCCAAGGTAAATTGCTGTCACAAATATCTCGGTAGATCATCTTCCCTAACATGCTGACTGGCGAAACTAACCCCAGCGGTTCAAATATTGACGCGATCTCGCTTAACACTGTTGGTTTGGTTGCGACTTCTTTACCAGTACAAGGAAATGCAACTCCGATCTTGTCTTTGGTCTTGTTCCAGGGTACTCCCAAGAGCTTCGTTTCTTGGTTCTTCACACCCAGTTGCTGTTTGGCGTAATTCTGATCAGTATCGGTGCCACTACTGTCTGGATCACTTGTTTCCAACTCTTCAATGTTTGAGTGCCATTTATGAAGCGTGAATTGTGCTCGGTCAAAGATCTCTATTGCTGTTTCTTTCAGATGTTTTACTTCTTCAACCACGCAGTCTCCGGTCAGCAGATCATCGACGTACAGACCATCCCTTATTTCAGTTACTTCAGCAGGGAATTCCTTTTCTTGACTGCTAAGATGCTGTTCGAGTGTTCCTCCTAATAGAAATGGTGATTGATTCAGTC